GAATTTTAATATTTATTTTTTAGTTATCGGCAGACACAACATCTTTGTTGGTATGTGGTGCTGAGGATTGAACCCGGGCCGCACGCATGCCAGGCGAGCACACTACCACTTGAGCCATATCCCCAGCCCAAGGCTGTCTTATTTTTTAAGTAACATTTTTTAGGCTTTTTTCTTGATTACAAAAGGAGTATGAACTGGTCGCAATTTTTTTCAAAAAAAATTTTTTAATTAGAAAAAAATTTCCCTTTATATAAAATATAAAAACTTAAAAATTTTACACTTTTAAAAATATAAAATATAGCCTAGTGTGGTGGTGTATGCCTTTAACCCCAACAACTCAGGGCTGAAGCAGGAGAATTTTGGTAAGGAACAGACATGGGCACTGAGAATATAAGATTAAGGGAATAATTCTATAAGCTGGGCCCACTGTGCTGACCCCCACATACCCAGCCTGAGCCACATACATAGCCCTTTTTATTTTTTATTTTAAGACAGGATCTTGCTAAGTTTCTTAGGGTCTTCCTAAGTTGCTGAGGCTGGCCTTGAATTTGGGATCCTCCTGCTTCTTCCTCCAGAGACACTGGGATTACAAGCATGTGCCACCACACCCAACTATTTTCTTTAAAAAAAAAAAGGCAATTTCCCCACAGCTCTGCTAGCTTAAGTCAATAGGATATGTTAAATTCCTTAGCAAATAACCTGTTATCTGCAGGAGGGATGCAGGCTTGAAATGCCAATAAGTTACCCTAAAAGGGGGGATTTTTGTGATCCTTACACAAACCAGACCCCACAACTCAGGCAGCTAAGGATAATTCCCCTTAACCATAAAAATGTGTAAGAACTGGTTCCAATTAGAACTGATCAGCATGGGCCAAAATGACCTAGAGTTTTCATGCACAGTAGGGACTTAAACGTCTGTTGTCATCCTACTATCAAAAGTAAAGAGGTGGACCTGGGCAGAACTCTCTGGAAACTTCCCTGGAACCCCACTAAACCTGGAGGACAGGAAAGACAGGAGGTCAGGGGGTCCTGAAGGATGAGTGGCATCCAGCACAAAGGATGAGACAAGGAGTCATTCCGTTGGAGCAACCCCTAGAGAGAGAGAGAGCTATAAAACTGCTTTCTCTCTGTCTCCTTTTATTTTGTCTCCTCATTAGTAAAATGTATCATTAATTTACAATTTCCAGATTTTCCCAGGATGTAATATTTCCTTGTTTAACAGATGCCAAACTATGTAACCAGACTCTATGTCTCCTAACCTGTCATTAACCTTTAAGTTTAAAGCACACCTGTACTTTATTTCTAATCTAGGATCCCATTTAAAAGTCCTCTTATAACAATCTTATAGTATATTCTAAAAGCATCTAAAAATGCCAACATTTATTCTCATAAAACTGGTTGAGCTGCTTTCTCAGAGAGTTTTTTTTTTCCTTAGTCAAAGTACACCAGTTCCTTACTAATCTTTAACTAAAGGGTAGGCTCTGTATGTCAATCCCCCTGCCACTAACATTAACTATGCTTATCATAAGTCCCTGTGTAAAGTAAAGGAGGGTCTATTAGAAGGGAAATATATTTTTATTAGCCTTTTCTCCTCTGGATGAATACCATAGCTTATCCTTAATCAAATAGGCTACATATAGTGGGCTTCGTACAATAGGCATAACTATCTGCTTAGGCTCTTTGAGAGACGAGGATATGAATTTGGATTCTTAGTTGATATAATCAATTGTGGTACCTAGAGTTCCTGTAACATTTCCCAGAATGATTGTTGATACTTTTCTGTTTTGTCCTCAATGTCCTGATAGTAAAACAGCATTTTAAGTCATGAACCACCTGTTATACTCTAGAATTTAATTTGGTTTAGCAATAAGTATACTCATGCCTTCTATTAGGTTTATAAAATAAAAAGTCTCAATTACATAAAAAAGGGTCTCATGGTTTCTGTTTCCAAAAGTGTAGCCTTGCCAAAGACTTTCATCCTCACTGTGACCTTGTCAAGACAGTGGGAGGAGGAACTCTTTCACCAGAGGTCCTTCTCCTTTCTAAGAGTATCCACTCTCTCCCTTGAGAGTATCCCCCTTTCCCCTCTCCTATCCCTTCTAATAAACTCATGCCTGCTATTTTTAAGTGACTCATCTGAAATCTTTCTAACATGATCTCAAGAGTCAAGGTAAAGAAAAGGCCTCTGGGGTTGCCTCAGCTTTGTGGCAAGCCTCTGCCCTATAACAAATTCCAAGTGTAAGGCCAGTCTGAGCAACTTAGACAGACCCCGTCTCAAAAATAAATATAGGAGCTGGGGACATAGCTCAATGTTAGAGTGCTCCTGCATTGAAGAAGAAGAAAGAAGAAGCAGAAGAAATAAAACCACAAATATGTACAATTTTTACTTATAAAATGAAACAGTAGAAAAATACAGATTTCCAAGAAAAAGGGAGATAGAGCGAGGGAAAGGGATGGAGGGGTAAGGGGAGGGGGGAAGTAGGGGGAGGGAGGGAGGGAGGGAGAGAGAAAATATCCACAATGCTAGCAAGGAACACTACCTACCAGCTTTCTTTTTCTTTTAGCAATGAAGGGCAAGTGGTAGAAAAGAGTTTTGTTGTGGTGGTGTTTCTGCTGAGGATTGAACACAAGCATGCTCTACCACTGAGCCATATCCCTGACCCTTTTTAGTTTTTGAGACAGAGACTTGCAAAGTCTCACAAAGGCTGTCCACAAATTTGTGACCCTTCTGGGGCTGGGGTGGCTCAGTGGAAGAGTGCTCACCTAACATGCATGGGGCACTGGGTTCAATCCTCAGCACCACATAAGTATAGAAATAAAGATATTATATCCACTTAAAACTAAAAAATAAATATTTTTTAAAAAATTGTGATCCTTCTGTCTCAGCCTAGGGAGTAACTAGGATTACAGACCTGTGCCACACCACCCAACAGAAAAAGCCTTTCATGTACTAAAAATAAGCAGCCCAATGACTCAAGATCATTAAAATCTTAGCCACTGGCTAGACCCTATGGGATCTTTGGACCCACACCATACAGCTCATGCCTTCTAGAAGGGAACGCCTATTTCCACAAGCAGTGTTGGAGGGTGCTGGGCAAGGAAAGCCTGAGACTTCTGATGCTTCCTGTTTTCCTAGCTGTCAAGGACTTCGTGATTGTCCCCCTGCATACCACCCCGGAGACATCCGTTAAAGAGATTGATGAGTTGGCTGAAGTCTACAAGGATGTGAAATGGCGCTGGAATGCAGAGGTGAGCATCTCTGTGTTTGTCAAAGTCCTGTCCATGTGAAGGAGGATGAGGGGGCAGGCACGTGCAGGCCACCACCAGCCTCACTTTAGATCTTTCCTCAGCCCTAAACATCCTTCTTTTTAAAATACACGCACACATAAACACACATGAGATGGACACAAATACCTTTTATTTACTTACTTAATGTGATGCTGAGAATCCTCACATGCTTGGTGAGTGCTCCACCACTGAGCTACAACCTCAACCCCTAAACATCCTTCTTGCTAAATCTGCCTGGGCACCATCCATGTAGGACTAGGGAATTCATGCTCTTGTTATGCTCGAATTCGGGACCCCCAAAAGACCACCAGAGACCCAAGATCGATGTAAGCAGCAAAGAGGTGTTTATTGCGAGCTAGCTCGGTCCTCCACACACACACAGCAACAGGTGATGCTAAGAGGCCCAGAGCCCAGGTTTTGCAGCAGTTTTATACATTCTTTGGAGAAGGCAGGGACCTCCACATACATCATAACATTTCCTAGCAAATCATCACACACCGCGGGAAAATCAAATAACAGTTCTAAAACATGATTAGCACATTTACTGGCGGGAACAAGTTGGGTAGGAGGGATTGGTCACTACAAGAGGGGGATTCATTTAAACTGATTGGTTTAAACCGTGAGGATGTCGCAAGGGAAGTACGTGCCAAACTGCAGGGCTTCTAGTTTAGATATTGGTCACCACACCTTGTTGGAAGCCATCCGGAATTTCAGATATGTGGTTATCTTGGCCTATCTGCGGCTTTTCCGAGAACTGAACTGTTTCCATAGAGCTTTTCTGTAGATTTTTTCTTGACTTTAGGATTACAATAAGTCAGAGGTTAAGTTTCAGAGCAAAATAAGATCCCAAACAGAATGAAATTGCTTAGGTCTTTCACTCTGAACAATTTATAATGGATGCCAATATTTTTACTGAGTGACTCACTCATGCTAGGCTTCACAAGAATAAGTGTACTCACTGGGCACAGTGGTGCATGCCTATAATCCCCGTGGCTGGGGAGGCTGAGGCAGGAGGACTGTGAGTTCAAAGCCAGCCTCAGCAAATTATCAAGGCCCTAAGCAACTCAGCAAGACTCTATCTCTAAATAAAATATAAAAAAGTGCTGGTGGTGTTTCTCAGTGGTTAACCACCCCTGGGTTTTATCCCTGGTACCAAAACAAAAGTGTACTCAATCCTCCCAATAGTCCCAGGAAGTTACTGTCCTACTTTGTAACTAAGAAGAGAGGCAGAGAAGTCAGGGGTGTTTCCATTGCAGGTGACAAGTTCTCAAAGGGGCTCATTGAATGGAGGAGCAAATTATGTCTGTCATCCCTCCTGGGCCACATTATTTCCTCATCTGGAGGTCAGGAACAGGACCACCTATGGCCATGAGGGTCCCTGGAAGCTTTTGGCAAATGTGGAAGTGCTCTGGAGACTGTTTGCCACATTCCTCTTTTCTTCTTTCGAGATGTGCCTCCTATGATGGCCCTTCCTCCTCCTCAGTTCCGTGTTCAAAGTGCAAAATGAGTGAAATGTGAACATAGTTGATCAGAGTTGGAACATGGAATGGACAAGGGCCACATTTTAATTATTTATTTGTAAATAGCAGGACAAGGGAAAGTCTCATCTATTTATCCCCCAAATTATGAAATCATTCATTCATTCAACAAGAATATATTGATCATCTACTGAGCATCAGCCCTGGGGTGGTATCAGTGCCCAAAGGTAAACAAAAGGGGAAATTTATGATGAGGAGCCTTTAGTGAGGCAGATTGGGTTTCTCTACCACTTGAACTATTGATCTATGTAGCCTACAGCAGGTCACTTAATCCCCTTTTCCTGTTTCTACTGGGTTTAATGATGCCTCCTACCTCCTAGTGTTTGTTGTTGTAAGAAACAATTTGAATTTTAGAAAACATTTAATGCTGGCCCTGCCTTATAGTGAATGTTCAGCAAATCACCCCTGCATTAGAAGACGTTGATCACTCAGGTTACGAAGGGATGTCATCCTTTCCTCAACTGTGCCTATTAATCTCAGGGGAAATTCTGATTGCTGAGGTCAAGATGAAATGTTCTTGAAGAAAACTCAGAAGTCAGCAACTACCCCAAACAATAGCTCAAACAAGGAAATCTGACACTTCCTCTGTATTATGGAATGTTAAAATGCTATTCCAAGAGCCCTGCAGGGAAAAATACTTCCAAAATAGAAAGTTTCTGTTGGTGGCCTAGGGTGGGGATCAACACCTCACCCAATGACCCCCCTCCCCTTAAACCTCCTCCCATTTCCTCCAAAGACTGAATTTCCACAGGAATAAGTCTCCAATCTCAAAACAATAGGAGAGAGAGAGAGAGTGGCGCCAGCACACCACCCAAGTACATTTTTCTGGCTTGGAAACAAAGATGTTGATTCATTCATATATTTATGTCCTGCAGCAATGTGGGCCAGAGACAAAAGATGCATGAGAATATCTTAGGTAGATGGTTCTATTCCTACCTACTTCTGCAGCTGAACTACACACATGGTGACTAAGAACAAGAGGGAGCAATGAGAGCAAACATCCTTCTTCCCATTAAGAATACCCTACTTGGGCTGGAGATATAGCTCAGTGGTAGAGTGCTTGTCTAGCATGCACAAGGCCCTGGGCCCATCCCCAACACTGCAAACAAAACAAAACATCTCACCTTCCTCATACTCACTTGCCAGGCAGTTATCAAAACTCAGACTCAAGGGGCTGAGGTTGGGGCTCAATGGTACAGAACTTGCTTAGCATGTGTGAGGCACTGGGTTTGATCCTCAGCACCACATAAAAATAAATAAAAGTTAAACAAACAAACAAAAAGCCTTCAGACTCAGTTGTAAAGCCGCCTGTTCTTTTAAAAAGAAAACTAAGACAAGCCCATTATCAATCTGTTAAGGGCTGTCATAGCAAAGTACAAAAGATTGGGTGGGCTAAACAATACAGTTATGGAGGCTAGACATCAAGATTAAAATAAGCAGGGTTGCTTCCTCCTGAGGGCTTCTCTCCTTGGCTGGTAGATGGTCATCTTCTTCCCTTGTCTCAACTGTCTTTTCTAAGTGTCTCTCTGTATGCTAATTGCCTTTTAGCCTCTCCTTGCAGTGCTAGATATGGAACCCAGGGCCTTGTGCTGGCATGAGCTAATCCCCACCACTCCTCTTTTTTTAAGAAGGCCAATCCTATTAGATTAGTGAGACAAGGATTTAGGATAAGGAGAGAGAAATATGGAATCTTAAGGGAAATACCCACAAGATGTTGAAATGCAGAGTCAAGCCACTGAGATGGAGAAAACAGTTGTAAACCTAGACCCATGCTCTTGTAAAATGAGGGAAAACTGGAGTGATATTGTGCAGCTCCCCCCTAGATCTACCTCCAATCCAGCCCTTGATACAGTCCTTCTATAAATACTGGACCAGTAGCCCAAGTCAGGGCTGTTTCTCTGGAGACAGCCCACATTCTCCCTTGGATGTATATCTACCTTCTTAAATAAACTTCTGTCTATGTCTTTGGCTCATGCTGAAATTCTTTTCTGTCATGTATGCCAAGAACCCCACTGGCCCTGAGTTGAGCTCCCTCTCTCTTCTAAGAACTCCTTGGACCCTTCTTTGGAGACATCTCTTCTCCCATGACATTAGGGCCCACCCATCTGACCACATTTGACGTTATTTACCTGTTAAAACACCCTATCTCCAATCATAGTCACATTACTCCTTACTGGGGGTCAGGATCTCAACGTATAAATTGGGGTGGGAACACAATTCAGTTACTAACAGACCCCTTTGTTAACTGGGCAGGTGAGGTAGTGTCACTGCTTGTAATCTCTGGGGAAAGGGTTGTGTAGCAGTGACCACCAGCTGATGCTCCCAAAATGTGCCTTTCAGAATTTCATTTTCATGGGTGACTTTAATGCTGGCTGCAGCTATGTCCCCAAGAAGGCCTGGAAAAACATTCGCTTAAGAACTGACCAGAGGTTCATCTGGCTGATTGGGGACCAAGAGGACACCACAGTTAAGAAGAGTACCAACTGTGCATATGACAGGTAGGTGGCTCTGCAGGCATGCTAGCCCCTACAGTGTTTGCTGTGAGCTAGAAAGACCAGCTCCCTCTAGGCATATGTAGCACATAGCTTGAGAGCCAAGTCACCTCCATTTCAGAACCTGCCACCACAGACCCTGACAGTGTATGAACTGCATGACTCTTTGCCCTGAGCATTAATGCTTAGCAGTAACCAGCACTGCCTTTTTTGCGGGGAGGGGAGCAGTGCTAGGGATTGAACCCAGGGCTCTACATACAAGGCAAGCACTTTATCACTGAGCTATACATCAAAGCCTCACAGCACTGCTTCTGATGTCAGACAGGATGGGTTCAAATCCTGATTCTACCACCTAATGTATCTGTGACCAAATGATTTAAGCTCTGTGTGTCCTCATTTCCTCACTTGTAAATTGGAGATTAGTAGTTCCTCACTTAGGAAGACGAGGATTAAATGAAGTAACATATATAAAGCTGTTAACATGAATTGGGGTATGGAAGTGTTCAATCGTTCATTGGCTGTTCCCTATACCATCACAAAGACACATCACAGTTTAGTGACTCAGTCATTAGATATTACCAAGAGTTCACTGTTGAAACTAACATCCTATATATTCATTTTGAGCAAATATTTCTGATTTCCTCAGGGTAAAAGCATAAAAATGAGAGCAATTCCTGCAAAGGATTTGCATTTTTAAAGTTTCTGCTATACATTCCTAAAAGTGAGTGAATACATTTAAATAATGGCATTCTAAAGTCTGGCTGGGAAAGTTTCAAGGACTTTCACTTTTGCTTCTTCAATGTAGAGGGAAGTGGGAGTGCCTGAAGCATTAAACATCAGTGATTGTCCACATCAAAGACCACAGACAGGGAAATCCCTGAGAGTCTGGTCCAGTGGGTGGCCACAGTTCCCAGAGCTCAGCCTGTTGCTGAGTGAGCATGAGATGTCACAAGATGGCCATCTGTGGGAAACAGCCTGAAGTTCTCACTTCTCAGTCTTAAGGTCTGGCTTTCATTTCCATCCCCTGGCCTCCTTTTATTCCTCTTGGGACTTTCAGGGCTAGTGTTTCCTTCGTACACGTCATCACTTCAACTTTCAAAAGTGGAAACCCGAGTGGAAAGTCAGAGGAGACTGAGCATCCAGACCTCTTTCCCTCATTCAGGAAGAGCCTCTAGCCAAGCCAGTTTTGGGACCTTGGACAGGTCACTTCCCTTCTCCAGCCCCACTGATCTGCCAGTGAGAGGGTAGTGATCAAAAATAATGATGCAAAAGAGTAGCTAATCACAAGGAAAGATGTCTACTGCAGATCAGGTTGGATGGTGAAACCGGTTAAGAAAAGTTGTTTCAGCTGGATATGGTGGAGCATTTCTGTAATCCTGGTGACTCAGGAGGCTAAAGCAGGAGAATCCCAAGTTTGAGGCCAATTAGGGCAACTTAGCAAAATCCTGTGTCTAAATTTAAAAAAAAAAAAAGGACTGGAGATGTAGGTCAGTAGTTTCAGCTGGATATGGTGGAGCATTTCTGTAATCCTGGTGACTCAGGAGGCTAAAGCAGGAGAATCCCAAGTTTGAGGCCAATTAGGGCAACTT